CTCTATAAATGCCCTTTGCCTCCCAGCTCTTTTCTCTATTCCTAGGAAATCTCATAGAGCAGTTTTACTCTATCGCCATACGTGGTCATTAATATCACGAAGTCCACCTGAAGATGCCTAGCAATAACCACAAAGCCATCAGTATGAGTACTTAGAGACCATGTGCTAATTAAGTGCCTCCTCAGATTCAAAACCAAAGATCAGTTGCCTTCGAGACAATTGGACGCATGAGCCCCCATTGTGTCAGGATAAAATTGGGCCCCATTGGGCTTTAAATGACTGACATTTTTGGAAGCACATTATCAGACCTCTCTTCTGCTGTGCGTCTGGGTGGACTATAACCTCTAACCATTTGCATGGGCCCTCTCCCCATTGGGAAACTCTCTCCTTGGGCTAAGAGAGTTAAAATGAATATTACAATTTCTTGCATGGGTGGAGGGGCTGAGAGGAGTCAGTAGAGTCCTGTGGTCTCAGAGGAGGCAGTGATTCTCAGGGTCGGTTTTGTCACAGCCCTGCATGCAGTCAGAAAGTTCTCAAATCACAGCTTCGGGTACATCTTTATTTTAGAAGGGTGTCCTCATGGCATGAGTCTTGGGATTGAAATCACTAGAGAGGACTTAAAAAAAAGCAAACAAAACAAAAACCTCACTGCCATCAAATCAATTCTGAATCATAGCGGCACTAGAACAGAGCGGAACTGTCCCTGTGGGTGTCTGAGCCCGTGTCTCTTTATGCGAGTAGAAACCCCAAACTTTCTCTTATGGAGCGGCCGGCGAGTTTAAACTGCTGACCTGTGGTGATCCGCCCAATGCTCTCATACTATGACACTGTAGTGGAAGCTAATTGGATCTGGACAGTACAGTTCTCCTCAACAAGGTTCCCTGGAAATTGAAAGTCTTAATTCTTCCTCCTCTGGCTTTGGGAGAGCTGTGCACAATTGTTCACAAGGTTGGCCTGCATCAGTGTCACCTAGGTGTCGGGTGCTGTGGAGCTGCCTCCCACCCTTAATGACCTTGTATGAGAGACGAACTACCTCCTCAGGTTTCCTAGGCTGTAATCTTTAGGAGCCTTGGTGGTGTAGTGCGGAGCCCTGGTTTAAGGTACAGAGGTTACACACTGGGCTGCTAACCACAAGTTCAGCAGTTCAAAACCACTAGCCACTGCGTGGGAGAAAGGCAAGGCTTTCTACTCCCCGTAAAGAGTTACTGTCTCAGAACTCACAGGAATAGCTCTACCATGGCCTACAGGGTTGCTGTGAGTCAGTATCAACTCGGTGGCAGTAAGTTTGGTTTGGGTTTTGAATACTTAGGAGCAAAGATCACCAAGCCTTTTCTTTTGTTTAGCCAAATGCTTAACCATCGTACCACCAGAGTCCTTTGGAGGCACCTAGAAGGTTCTGTCATAGAAACCCACAGCCCAATGTTTCTGAGTGTGGCTGGAGAATTTGCATTTCTCACAAATTTCCCAGTGAAGCTGAGGCTGCTGCTCTGGGAGTGTCCTTTGAGGACCTTTGCCTTAGACCGCCGGGCCCTGAACGTATCTGAGACCTGTTTTTCTAGGTTTATGCAAGGGGATGGCCAGCTGGGCAACCTCCAAGGCCACTTCATTCGCACAGGAAGACTCTGCTCCTCTCCAATTCTGGACATTCAGATTTGTTGGTAATGCTTCTAATTGCTTCTCTCACTTTTTATTCCACTCCCTTGAGCTATAAAGCACAGGCTTAACATCCAAAACCTCAGCACCCAGCGGTTTTGGAGCACACACAACTTCCTTTACATTTTCTAAGTTCATTTTATGCTTAAAAGTATTGGTAACAATTAAAAAAATCACATTTGTAAAAGAAGAATAAGCCAACATCAGCAACAACCGGAAAGGAAAGAGAAAAATGCTGCTGGGTGCAGCTGATTTTAAAAATGCTTCCTCCTCAAGCTGAGGAGGAATGTCCAAGGTTCCAAGCCTGTCCCGCGTGGACGTGTACTCACCGTGTAGGCCTGCGGGCTGGTGAGCAGCTTGGAAAGCGGACTGCACCATTCTGGTAACGTGGTGGTCAGCGGAGGCCCGGAATGGGTCAAAATTGGTTTCAGGTATCTGTGAGGGTTGTTAAGGAAGACTTCCCCAAATGTCCTTAGACTTTAACTGTCTAGTTTCACACCTGGCACAAACCTTTCCACTGAGTGAAGGAGACAACATGGTCCCTTTTTGGTCCCTTAGTCCCACATTCAGGTAGCAATATAGCACACGGAAACTGCTGCTTAGACTCTTTGCTCCATACACCTCTGCAGCCCTCCTGGTGCCCTTTAATCACGAAGAAATGGGGGACCCATGAAGCATCAGCAGGAGTTGTGCCTGCTTCTCTATTCTTCAGCACCCAACTCTGTGTCTCCTCTCCTTAGAAAAATCATTTTTGAGAATTACATTAAACAGTAGCATAAAAGGTTTTGTTATCTGAAAGCTGAACACAGCACTTAAGCCAAAATTAAGTTTCTCAAAGAAGCCAGAGGTATTTCACAAAATGTTCTGTTATTTTAGAGTGGGGTTGTGCAAATAGATTGTTTTCCAAAATACTTTATTTTCACTAGTCAACAAAGACACTTTATACTTCATACATCAATGCATCACTAGATGAAATTATGTAAATAAGCTGATGCCAGGTTCATTCCATTGTCTAGCACCTGTCTTTCTCATCTTTTCATCCCAAAGTGCTTTAAAGAGTTGAAAGAAAAACCTGTTCATCTAGAGCCATTATGTTTTCCTCCAATCTATCAATAATGAAATCCCTGGTGGCTGCCTCTGCTTGCATTATTATTTTTTTGCTCAAAGAAAAGTGGTGGAGTGATTTCACCATTCCATCAGAAATGACTTCAAGCTTTATATTATTTCCCATGCTGGGGAATATTTCACCTCATCAACTTTCTGAAAAGCTATAATAAACAGGTAAAGGGGAAATGGAAAGCAGTTAATACTGTTCGGCTTTTGGAGCTCCTCAGCAGCTCCTCCCTCCCCCAGGCATTCAGGACAAGAGAACATCTTGGCAATGGTGCCTGTCTGTAGGTGGACAACACCACTCTGTCATCTCCATGATGCCCTGAGTGTGTGGAGGGTGCACCCAGAGGGTCTGGGAATCTACTCCATTCTGATGACAAAAAAATAACTCCACAGCAGAGCAGTAGCAAAAGGGATGCTCGTGAACACAGTGAGTTTGGATGCAAAGAGAACACCCCAAGAGATGCATACAAGAGTTGCCAAATCCAAGTGCAAAAGGGAAATTTGACTTCCCCCTTTCAGAGAGCAGCTCTGGTGACCAACTCAGATATTCAAGTTCAGAGCCTGGCTTCTGCTGTAACATCTTATAATTATAACTACAAATCTGAAAGGCCATTGATGATCTTCCATTAATTTTCATTACCGGTTGTTAGTTCCTTCATTTTATGGATGAAGGCACAGAGGCCTAGAGATATAATGATTTAAAATAATACAGAGGCTTCCTCTGCTGTTTGAAACCACCAGCATCATCCCGGGCAGGAAAGAATTAGGCTCTGTGACCAGCTGGGCTGTGCAGACCTACACACACAGACTCACCATAGGGAGGAGGGAGCACACCAGGATGGATGAGCCTGGTAGGGCTTTTGGGCTTATGGCATGTATAGGTAGGTTTATGCGAAATGCTGGAGGATAATTTAAGAAAAAATCACTAATTTTATTCACTAATTCCAGATGAAAAAATGACCACAAATAAGCAACATTTGTAGAGATGCCATGGGATAATCAAAGGAAGATGTTTGTCGAGCAAAAAAAAGAATAGAAAAGAAAAGATGCTTGAGAGCAACTCAGGAAACTCTGATTGTTCAGGGTTGTCAGCACAGGATACATATAGAATAATACATATAGAAATGGTTTGTAAATTTTTATGTGATATTCAAATGCTGTCTATCATCTCTCTCTCTCTCAGCAATGATTTCTGGAGAAATTGATATCTCAATCATTGCTTAAATAATGGTGAAGAAATAATACTAAAGTGAGTTAACGGCATTTCAGAAATTTGGTGTGATATTAGAATTCATAAACTAATTCTCACTGCCACTGAGTCAATTCTGATTCATGGCAACCCTACAGGCAGGGTAGACCTGTCCCTGTGGGTTTCAGAGACTAACTTTTTATAGGACAGTGGGTGTTTGGGATATTTTCACATGCTTAATTAAAACATTTGAAAATGATCTTAGTTTAATGTCCAGAATTAATTTTAACAAAAGCTGAGGCTGGCTGAGATACTCTACCCACTTTGTTCATTAGTGTCTCTTCTGTGAAGGTTAACATATATTATTAAGATCCTCACACTCTGTGCCCACTCCTAAGTACATCCACATGTCTTTTCCCCAAAGATCTTTATCCGTGCTTTCCCAATTTTCTTTTTCTGAAAGCTTAATAAACAACCAGGTAAGTCAGCTGGCTATATCTGATGATGAGCTAATAACTCTGACAATCCAGCACATGATGGGAAGTTCTAGTTGGTAAAGGAAAAAAATGAGTCATGGGTGGGGGTATAGGTGGTTCAGTGGTAGAATTTTCACCTTCCATGTGGGAGCCTGAGTCGGATTCCATGACACCTCGAATGCATCCTCCAGCCCTCTGTCAGTGCAAGCTGCTGCCTTTCTGTGATGCTGAAAAGGTTTCAGTGGAGCTTCCAAACTAAGACAGAAGGTCTGGTGATCTTCTGGAAATGAAGCAAGGGAAACCCGATGGCTCTTAACAAATTGGTCACTTCTACACTGGGATCCTATGAATCACATGCTGAATCAGCAGTAGCCAACTAGCACAACATGAATAATGGAATAAAATTCTAAGTAATTTAGCCAGATACGAATGAATAGGGCAGATTATAGCCAATAAATAAGGTTCTTCTGAGAATAAAAGGATGTAAGATGTGAAAACTAACTCAAAATGGCTTAAAGAATTAAATATTAAACCTAGAATATTCCCAGAAAAATCCATACAGAAAAAAATTCATTTAGAACTGCCCCCCCTCCAAAAAAGCTCCCACACATCTATAAATGCACAAAAAGCTCAAGGCAAATTATATAACTGGGATCTCATTACAATGAAATATTTATGATTATCAAAAGATTTTATCAGAAAAGTAAAAAGATAAAGTACCCTTTGATAATGACATACCTAATAAAGGTATGCTCTCTAAACATTAAAGACAACCACCACCAACAAAAAGACAACACAATTAAAAATGGACCATGGGGAGAGGGGGAGGTGAGGGAAAGGAGGTGGTGTTGACCAACCCAGGGACAAGGGAACCACAAGTGATCCAAAATCAGTGGTAGGGAGGGTGTGAGAAGCTTGGTAGAGATTGATCAAGGGCAATGTAACTGAGAGAAATTACTGAAACCCAAATGAAGGCTGAGCATGATAGTGGGACAAGAGGAAAGTGAAAGGAAATAGAGCAAAGAACTAGGAAGCAAATGGCATTTACAGAGGTCTAAATACAGGCATGTACTTATGTAAATATATTTA